GAACCAATATCTTGCCTCTCACCATGAATGGCATCAGATAGCCAAGTGGATCCTTTCCAGCACAACGAGTGATGTCACTTAGCATTGCCCTGCGGGTAAGAATGGGCCAGTCCGAGAGCTGGAGCTGGTAGGTCAGGACATCCCTCTCAGAATTCCTCTGGAGTATCACTGCTGAAATTGAGCCATCGTTCAGTGTTGTCTTACCGAGCTTCAGGTGGTAGATCATGACCACTGTGGGTTTGTTACTAGTCCACTTCACAAATGGTAATCCTCCAGCACCAAGGGCCTCACGTAGCTTTCCAACAAGCTGCTAGGCTTCATCAACCGTGGGTTTTCTATCAAGACAGTTGTCTATATAGAAGGCCTCCGTGACACTACTAAGAACGTCTGGATCTCCAATGTTATCCTTTACCTGTGTTGCACCCAAGGTGATTCGGAATGGAATCACCCCAGGGGCACATTAAATTAACGATTCCAAAAGTTGAAGAACTGTAATAAAATAGATCAGGCAAACACTGCATGAGCTGTGGTATGGAGTCAATGTTACTCTCTTAAAGCATGGAGTCAGAATGACTCAGAGAACCGTTTACAACTTGTAGCATCTATCAAGTATTCTAAAAACATAAATTGTTCTTCACCGAGCACAATGTCTTACTGCAATGAAAAATATAATCATTGGACTCGTTCAATCCTTGCATATCAAACAGTGGCAATAAATGATGAAACGCTTCACAGAAACCCTAAAATCGATTCCAGTATCGATAAAAAGAATATCGACTCCCTAAGACATCAGTCACAATAATTGAGGATCGGGTCTGGATGCAGTCTATCTATGAGTCACTCAACAGTCTTCATGCATAAGCGGTTTTCTCATGCTCTTCTCAGAGTGTGTGCCACTACAGGAAATGCCTGTCTTTACACCAGCTGATAATGCTGACCAAAGTGATATATACAGTGCAGTTCACATGCTGGTGACTTTAACCAAAGTATAAACCAGAAAATAGAATAGGATTGATCCTTAGTATTCACGAAATGCATATCGAATACAAGATTCTAATCAAAATAATTGGCACAATACACTTTCCTATTCGACAATGCCAATATCAACATCGAGATCTGAGAAATGCGAGTACGGTGCGCCACAGAAATTTCTACTCAATATACTGTGTAAGACCCTTAGACCATGGTCATCATATGTTTAACCTACACATGTATGTACATGGCCCAGGCACAACTTCATGCCATATGAAGAATTCACAACTACATGTACATACACTTGTAGAGCAAATCAAAATCAAGGGCTGCATACTTCTTAAGTATTAGAATTGTGGAAATCATTCCCAAAATTATTACTCAACAATGGCTGGATATTCTGAACATCCAGAAGCACATTACCATAGAGCAAGTTCAAAAGGAAGTATAACTCAATACTTGTAGAGTCAAGTGACAAAAGACACATTCTGTCAAATACGGAATGGTCATGGAAAAATGACAGAGTTCAGCTGCTCTTGACCGAATCCTGGTTCAGCTTTGGCAATACAGTGTATTACAGTGTGTATATACAAGCAGCTCATGTTAGCATCTAAACACTTTGGGTAAAGAGGACCAAAATTTTTAAGATCACTTCCTTGGGGTGACAAGGACTTGCCTGCCATCGCCATAGAAAAACGAGAGGTTGGGTTCAAAGCTTGAGTAGTATGAGCCATATCCCAGCTGTTTGAGCAGACTGTGGAGGACCGTCAGGTGGACCTCGTTACACTCACGACATGGCTTGCATAGGTCACATTCTTGACCCTCTCGCTGTTGGGCACACCTCCAAGCATCTACGGTTTGCCTTTATCCACTCGATTCGCTGGCCCACAGAGAGCTTATACATCACAACGGGAAAGCCAATGTTCGCCCTCACGGTCGGGGCAATGCTTGTGAAATGGTTTCTTCTCCTTGATAGGTCTGGATTCTGTTTAATCCCTAGTACGAAATGCTTTGCTGGGTTTGTTGTTGACACTGGCTGCTTGGTTCCCAGCTTTGGTGTGGTAGGCAGCAGCACACCTTTGTCGTCTTTCATGTAATTGACTGGGTGAGGTTTCGGACTTCAGGCCCTCAACTGGATCTTCTTGCGGGCGATGGTAGCAGTTTCCTGCAACCACCCATTGATGTCGGCAAGAGAGAAGTTACGCACGCCTTAAGTGCTCATGACCTTCAAAAGGGCGGTCTGGTGAATGTGAGGAAGCCTGCCATAGAGGACGCAGGCAGTGGAGTTGGCTTTCAACTCAGCCTCCCCTTAATGAGCACTCTTCAGTTGGACAACCAAAGCCGAAACGGTGGACGCAAATTCCACAATTCCCTTGAAATCAAGGGCAGCCAATTTAGGCCAGGGAGTGATCTGTTCGATCTTACTTTGTATGAGAATACCGATGTCTCCATACTGGTTGGGCAGGTTTGACATTGCAAGCGTAAAAGGATTAGCATGGTGCTCAAAACCAAGGGCATCTTTTTTGGGTTGACCTCGTAGTTTGGACTTCACAATGAAATGCTTTTGTAATTCACTTAGACGAACAAGCAGTTTGATACAGCCCTCAACCATGGCCTCAGAGCAACGGAGCTCTGAGGGGTCGCCACCACTGAAGACTGGAATTTCCATGCTAATCCCATCCGCGGATGCTGCCAACATTGAGCTCAACATTTGATCCTGTTTTATACCTGGATCAGCATTCGGTGCTATTGGTTGACCGAAACGCCCTTGGGGTGATGGTTCACACGGTGTAGGCGTGGTCGGTCTCACCTGTGCTGAGGGATGGTTAACTATACACGTATCGTCACAAAAGGGAGAGCAAACGGTGGGATTAGGAATGAAACAGGAATGGGCGCTACATACAGTAGTCTCAGAAGGAAATGGTGAAATACTGTAGCAGGTTTGCGGGTACGGCTGGTAGTTTGGCTTCTGGTGTGCTTACTTGGCCGGCTGTTGAGGAGGGTACCCTGGCTTCCACCCTGGCTCCTGGTGTGGGCACTGGAATGGGCACCGGCATAGGTACTGGCAGCTTGCGTAGGTTCTTCACTCCGGCCACATCGACAAAGCAAGTGCACGGAAGGCTCAGATGGCTGAGGTGAGCTGCTGACCTTGACACTGCAGCCTCCACAGGTGTGCGTGGTGCAGTTCGTTCGGATCTCAGAGCTCGTCTGGTGGTCTCGTGTTCCGCCATCATTCGCACAATCCAAGAAAAACCACGACGAGAAAGTTTACATGGCAGGTAAATCACGTTAGAGTCACATTGAATAATATTGAGGCCAACATTCGTTGGTTGCAGTGTTGCACTGTTTTCAATGGGGCTTGAATTAGTGGACTGTACCCCTATACACTACACGTGTAGGCTAAATAAACTGCCATAGCCAATTGCAACAGCAATTGAATACCCGAACTTTAAAAATCAGGACAAATACGAGTTTCTAAGGCGTTTGAGACGCACGTCAAATTAAAGCCCAGTTTATGAATTTTCATTTTCTGTTCAAATTGCCATTCATTAACCTGTGACTTCTGAAGAAATTTCTTTGCACGGAAGGTTAGCCCTAAAATACGGTCTTGAAGCCCCTCGCCATTTCGAAATATCGAAACGTGTCGTACCGTTGCATATCGTGCCGTCGTGTCGCACTTCCGTGCAGTGTCCGATCAAGCCTCGGGTCATGCTGTCTTGTTTGCAGATTGTGCTATTGCGTTGTGCCGTCGCAACGCAATTTGGCGTCATGCCGACGAGCCGTCGCATCGTGCCGTTGCTGGCAGCGTCGAGTCTTTGTTCTGCTATCGCCTCAGACTTTGGAAAAATAGACGCGCCCTTTTAATATAGACGTATCTTACAGACGTCGCCCTTTTAATTTCCACAGAAGTACTCATGAGAAATAGCTACAGACTGACAATAGAGGGCGCCAGCCAGGTCAGTAAATAAACTGCCATAGCCAACAATGATAAATACCCGTACTCAAGTTCAACAAATCAGGACAAATACTCACGACTTGCTCAGGTGTTTGAGATGCACGTCAAATTAAAGCCCTCGGATTTTTCATTTTCTTTTCAAATTTCCATTCATTTTGCTCGAAAAGACGTCCTTTTTTACTCCTTCGTATTGCTATCTCTTCGTTTCAAATGTTCAAAGTTGCAACCGCTCTATTTCGAATCTGCATTGGCCAGATTAACTAAACACAGGATTTTTTTCACAATTGGGAAATGGTTTCACAACATTTGGTGGCTTGAATTCTTCAATAAATCGTATTTGCGGCGTCCCAATCTCAGTCGTATTCCTGAACGTACAGCTTAAATTTGAAACCCGTTAGGGTAAAGTCCACTGCAAAGTAATTCAAGCCCCAT